CATTTGGCTGCAGTCCCCCCCCCCCCCCCCAAAGTCCCGACTGCACGGAGAGCAGCCGCCCCCGCTACAAGGGCTGGGGAGCAAGTGTGCTGCTCTCTGCCCTTGAGAGACGTCAGGCTGGTCCCTGTAACTGTGCTCAGTGGCACTCCGGCGTGTGACGCGAAGCAGTCGGAGGTGCGCTGTGGAGTACAGAATTCAAAATGGCCACCCTTAAAGGGACGACTTTTTCCCCTCAATAACTTCCCCCCGACCCTTCTTTTCTCTCCTCCTTCCCCCAACCTTTTGTTCTTTTTCTCAACAAAAAATCCTTGGTGTTCCTCATAAAAAAAAAAAAATACTGTTTGGTGTTTCTCGGTCTTAAAAAGTTTAAGAAACGCTGCTGTAAGCTAAGCACTTGGGCCTAGGAGAGATTCGGATGCCACCCACCTGATTAGCAAAATCCCCTTCCTGGCCACAGCTGGCAGCCTGTGTATCTCCTGGTGGTGCATATCCACACATGCCTTGGTGCACATAATAAAATTTATTCTGCACATGGATGGAAAAAATTAGAGGGAATATTGCTGCTAGAGCGCCATGACAATGGTCCCTGAGGGCTTCTCCCTCCCACCCATGTGTTTTGTGGTTTCTTGGTGCATTTCCAAGCTAGCCTGCGTCCTTTCCCTCTTCGCACTGTCAACTTAAAGGGAGCAGCACCGCACTCCAGAGCTAGGAAACCAACCCCCACCCCAAGCACGGAGACGGGGCAGGCACAGACGACAGTGTCTGGTCCAAGCTGAAGGTGCTGCTCTGTCTGCTGCAGTGCACAGAGAGGATGCCAGGGCAGCTCCGGAGCTGGCAGCTGAGTCTTGTTAGCCACAGAGTTCTGTGTGGTGTTTCTGCCCTGTTCTGCAGGCTGGCAGTGTGCTCAGCTGTGGCCAGGCAACCCACAGTAGGTTCTTCTCACCTCCCTTAAGTTTCCCATCTGCTGCCTCACAACACTTGGCACAGATGGGGAAACATAGGCAGGAAGTGGGGCTGCCACCTGTCCACTGCTGGGAGGGGGTTTCTGTCAGTAACAGAGTTCTGTGTGGTGTTTCTGCCCTGTTCTGCAGGCTGGCAGTGTGCTCAGCTGTGGCCAGGCAACCCACAGTAGGTTCTTCTCACCTCCCTTAAGTTTCCCATCTGCTGCCTCACAACACTTGGCACAGATGGGGAAACATAGGCAGGAAGTGGGGCTGCCACCTGTCCACTGCTGGGAGGGGGTTTCTGTCAGTAAGGAATAGATTCTGGGTGACCGGTCTCCCTAGCTTATCAGTAAGGGCGAATTAAAATCATGCCTCCTCCTGTGTTTCTGGTGAGGCCTATGACTCTTACCTGAGTTTGCCCCAGATGTGTTGTGTTTTTCCTCTGGCCAGTGGCCCTGTCCCTACAGTAGGTGGTCTTTCTCTCAAGGCAGCTGAGGGAATGTACCTGCACTAGGACCCCGCTGTGCTGCAGTGCTGCCGCGTTTTGAAATATGCTTCCATAGGAATGTTGGGTTTAGTTTTGTTTTTTAACGTGTGAAAAAACACCTGGAATTTCCCGGCATTTTGTGTCCTTGGGAGCCCTGACTTCTGAGCAGTGGCTGAGCTATCACGTTCCCTGCCTGGCAGCGTCTCTGCCTGGCACGCTTGCATGAAGGGAGCTCTGTTTTTTGTGTGTGTGTGTGTGGGGGGGGTGTTTTTTCTGCTCACCCTGGGGCTTTGCTGAGGGGAGTAGCCGGGTCTCCGCCTGGGCTTGGTGGCGGAAGCAGTGACATCCTTCCTGTATCTTCCTGGCAGGTCAGAGGGAGGTGACGCAGAGCTACTCGCGGGCCAGCTCTCTGACATCACCGCCTCGAGCCCCTCCAATGGCAGCACCGACTTCCTTCCCCAAGGTGGGTGTCCTGCGTGGGAGAGTGGGGACACTCACAGGTCCTGGGGCTTCCTTGTCTTCAGGGCAGTGGTGTGGGACACCCGTGGCAAGGAGGAAGCTGCCTTAGTAGTTGCACTTTGCCCCTACGGTGCCCTCCCCTTTCCCACCCTCTTACCAACATGAAGCCAGCCTGCTTGTGGGGTAAAGAGCCTGCTTGGTAGGGGAGCCCTGCACTTGTGGTGGGTTGCGTCTCATTTCTGCAAGTCAGGTTCTCCACGGCTTGCCCGGGAACCCACAGCGACCCTCTGAGAGATCTGGGACAGAACCTGAACGCCTCACGCGGGTCTGGTGCCTCTCCGACCACTCATGCAATTCAGCTTTACAGTGGTTTGAACCTCTTGGGCCAGGTCCTCTGTGCTTCAGAGGGCTGCTGCTGCCGTGGCAACAGTGCATTTTGTGTACAGAGGCCTGGCCAGAAATGCAGGGCTGCTCTTGTGCTCCCCCCAGCAACACCCAAACTAGGCTGACGGACTGTGGGGATGATCGGCGCCTTTCAAGGTCCCAGCCAAAAATCACAGCCTCTGACCGACTGTGCTCTGAGCCGCGTGGCTCTCGGAGCGACAGGTCAGACAAGGGAGCGGGAGGGGAAACAGGCCCAGGCGGGAAGCAGCTCACCCAGTGTTACCCCAGCAGCGCAGTGGGAATAAAATCCAGGTGTGAGGGAGGAGTCCCAGGCCAGAGCCAAATAAGGAGGCAACTGCTGAGGTGTGTTAACTGCCTGCTTGTTAGAACCACGGCTAGGCGGGCGTGTTCCTGTTTGCCCTGTGGAAAGGGGCCAGTGTGGGATTACTGCTTTTCCACCATGCACCAATTCCCTGAATTCATCCCCAGCCCACAGTGCGTTCTGGGATTGCAGGGAAGCCAGATCAGAGCCCACTTTGGGCTACACTGGCTGGGGCCGCAGCTCAGACTGGCTCTCTGAGAAAGTGGCAGCTTTGTAGCTCGCTGGATGTTAGGGGTTTGCTGCAGGAACAGAGGGGAGTTCTCTGCCTGTGACCAGGTACTTGAGGGTCCATAGGCTCCCTTCGGGCTGTAAGCGCTACAACCAGAGCAACCTGTGTAAACAGCAGCCCCAGTTGGTGCTGCGCCAGTCATCAAATAGCAGCTGGGCTATTTGCACACTCAAAGCCAGGCACACTGACCTCTGCCTGAGGGAAATGCAGATCGCCCTGGAGGCATGTGCCCCAAGCAGCAGGTGCCCGGTGGCTATGGAAGGTAAAAGTTTTCCCAGGGGAGCTGATCTGTGCTGCGGGCTCTGAATCCCCTGCTCAGCATGTCGTTACCCCCAGTGGAGTTCTCGGTAAGTCAAAGGCTCAAGCCACCCCACACCACCTAATCCTTGGATGGCCGCCCCAGTTCCGGTACTGTCACAGACCCCCAAGCTCCTCAGCCAACAGGCCCAAGGAGGCCTTGCCAAAGACTAACCGAGCAAGGGGGAGCACTTGGACCGTGACCAGCCTGCAGGGGTCCCAGGGTTCCCAGACCCACGATATTGCTGGAATGAAAGGGTGGGCGGTGCTGATCACCAGGAAGTATCTGGTGCTGGAGCCCTGGGGAAGCTGTCCAAGGGCCTGTTGTCAGGCACTCCTGCTGTCAGGTGCTTGCATGGCCAGGAAACTGGTTGGTGAGGGCTTGCAACGCTTCCGCTCCTCTAGGCCCATGGCAGGACTGTCCTGCTGCTGCTGCCCCTGCTGGTGGCTCTGGGCGGGGGGCAACCCCACTCCCTCTGCTCCAGCCCAGGCCTCCTAAAGCGAATGAGGAATATTCAGCCCAGGGCAGCAGTGGGAGAGAATTACACAGCTCCTCGGGCAGGTAGAACTGCGGATCTGGGGCTCGATCCTGTGAGGGACACAGCACCCTTCAGCGCCCCTGGCTCTCGGAGGGAGCTGAGCACCCTTGGGGCCCTGGAGAGCAGGGTTCTGTGAGCATCCTGCTCTGCTCACCTGACCCTGTCAGACCTGTGCTCCCAACATGCTGCCAAGAAACAGCTTATCAGACAAACGCCAGCCCAGCGGCTCCTCTCCGCGGAGGCAGCTGAGCCAGGAGGGGCCCGTTAGCTCTCCTCTTTTGCCACCTTTCCAGCCCAAAGGTTAAATGGGAACTACGTCCGTCAGCCGCCGCTTCGGGCGGCAAGCGGAGGGAGAGTTTGGGGTTCTCTCCTCCTCCAGCTGGGAAAATTAGGCTGCGGCCAGCGTTCAGTGAAAAGAGGAACGGGGGTGGCCTGCTGGCAGGTTGAGAGACAGGAAACAAGGGTTTTGCTGATAGTGTCAGCGCTGAGTTTCAGTATCTCACAGCTCCCACCGTGCTGCGGGCAAATGCCATTCGGGCGGCAAGCGGAGGGAGAGTTTGGGGTTCTCTCCTCCTCCAGCTGGGAAAATTAGGCTGCGGCCAGCGTTCAGTGAAAAGAGGAACGGGGGTGGCCTGCTGGCAGGTTGAGAGACAGGAAACAAGGGTTTTGCTGATAGTGTCAGCGCTGAGTTTCAGTATCTCACAGCTCCCACCGTGCTGCGGGCAAATGCCAGCACCACAAGGCCAAGGACCTGGAGTCAATCAGGTTTCTGGTGGAAAGCAGAAGTGGCCAGTGACTGATTCAAAGCCAAACTGGGCAGCGTGCCGGAGGGAGCCTTTCGCACGGCAAGGGGGAGGACAGTGCAGTCCCACTGGTTCTCTCACGGGGGCCTGTGATACACAGTGATGGTGGGAGAGGTCAGCTAAGGAAGGATTCTGCTTTGTTGTGGCGAGGGGGCTGAGGCAAACCTGGGCCTAGCACCACACACAGAGCCTGGGCTTCAGGGCCGCTCGTGTTCCCATGGACACCTGTGGTGGGGAGTGTCTGTCTGGCTCGTGATGGTTTATTGGCTTCAAGTCCTGCTTGAATTGTCAGGTGCTTTCCAGAGAGCAACACAGCAGGAGTCCTGCTCCACAGAGGGGGATTTCAAGGTGCGCTACTCCCACTCGGGGGGAGCTGTGCGGCCGACCGGAGAATGGCTCCGCAGGGGCCACGGGTTCCGTGTGAGGCTTTTCCAGAACTCTGCCATGGCTACCCAAGCCGCTCCCTCCCTCCCCGGGGCATGGTTT